GTGTAGGGGTTATAGGGTTTAGGGTCTAGGGTTTAGGGTTTAGGGTTTAGGGGTTATAGGGTTTAGGGTCTAGGGTTTAGGGTTTAGGGTTTAGGGGTTATAGGGTTTAGGGTCTGGGATTTGGGGTGTAGGCGTTGGGGTTTGGGGTTTCCGGTTCGGGGCTAGGGTGATTCCCTCGCCTATCCAAACCCCATGGAAAACCTCAGTAAATCCGACTTTCCAAAACCCCTTAGGCGCGAGGAACAAAAAACCTAAAAAGTCATGTTTGAAGGGCGCTTGTGGTATCTTCTTTTGGCAAGGGCCTTCGCAAAACAATGTACCGAGACTTTTGTTGGGTCGTCAGTAAAACTCTAGCTGTGTGGGTCTTGGAGTATCCGGGACCTAACCATACTTAAGGATCATGGGACGTAGTAACTAGGGATATAGTTAAGGCGACTAAACTTATAAAAAAAACTTACTCACAATCCATTTAAAAGCACTTATATAACTTATAACCCTGAAACCCTAAACCATAAACTTACTAAGTCCCATGATCCTTCGTGATCCTCCAAGTACCTTCTCTTCCCAGGACGGTGGCCAGCGCTTCGCGTCCGGATCTCCACACTCAGCGCTTGCCGGCAACAGCACCGCACGATCGTCCAAGGAGAGCTCCTAACATAGGGAAATTTGGGGTTCTAAACCCTAAACTCTACACCTTAAGCCCTAAAAAACCCTAAACTCTAAACCCCGTAAGCCCTATATTATATGAGCCCTAAACCCTGGCCCAGACCCTAAACCCTGAGCCCTAAACCCTAAACCCTAAACCGTGGGTTTAGGGTGTAGCGCTTTAATATAGGGTTTGGGGCTCAGGGTTATAGGGCCCTGAAAGTTGAGAATGGGGGGTCCTTTAAAAGGCTCTATCGTGTTTAGGGTATAGGAGCCTTATGATCATCAGAATGGGGTTTAGAGGCATATGAAGGCATAGTATAGTCATATTAAGGAACCCTACGGAGTAGTGTCGTTAATTCTTCTGGCTTCTAGATTACATGAGCATTTGCAAGGTTTCATATGCAAGCTTCGAGGCGTATGGTTCAGGGCGGCTTGGAGGTTCATGGGACTTCGTCAGTAAAGTTATAAATCCCTTAATTGTGGGCAAAAAGCAGTGATAAGTATAGTTACCTTATCTCTAATAACTATAACCCCAGTTACCCTAAACCCTTAACCCCCCATGATCCGTAGAGTACGGCTTTGTGCAATGAGGGCCATGGCTTCAGGGATTCAGGGCTTCAGGCGAGGGCTCAGCAGGGTTTGGGGCCTACCCACTTGGAGGTTCAGGGTTTAGGGTTTAGGGTTTAGGGTTTAGGGTTTAGGGTTTAGGGTTTAGGGTTTAGGGTTTAGGGTACTGAAAGGATCATGGAACTTAGTAATTGGGGTTATAACTAAGGTAACTATACATATATTTACTTATAACCCCAACTAAGGGACTTATAACCTTACTTACTAAGTCCCATGATCCTCCAAGTAGTTATACGTGGGGTTATAAGTAGGGTAACTATAATTCTCACCCATATTAGGGGACCCTAAACTCTAAACCCTAAACCCTACTTATAACTACCCATGAACCTCCAAGTAGCCCTAGGAAGCCTAGCTTTTTTTGTGCTCCGTATTATGGCTGCCTTCCTAGGAAGCTGGCTTCTACTCGGGGCAATATGGGAGTTTCCAATTATTAGGGTACCTTATTTTGGAGTCTCTATAATAAGGGTCCTACTATTTAGGGTACTATATGAGCGTCCCCTATTTTCGGAAACCCCCATATAGGGTAGTCCATACTGGTGTCATGGCCAGGGCGTTAACAGCTTTTTGGTGTGTTTCCGAGCTTCACTTCCCCACTAACCGGCTTTTGTGAAAAGGGAGCACGGGCCAGTGTTCTTTGAAAGGAACCACCCGGGGTTCGTTTAGGGGTTTAGGCTTAGGGCAGGGTCTAGGGCCACTTGGGCAGGGTGTACGCTTACGCTGATATGCGCATGGAGGGGAGGGTCACTAACCCTGACTCCGGGGGCCCCTGTCGAAGTATGCATTTACGAGGCTGCAGAACTTTGAGGTTCTCTTGAAGTAAAGCCAATCCTCCCCTGCGATGGTAACATGGGCAATGCGATCTTTGCAAGTTCGGGTGTAGCTCCCAGAGAGGACAAGACCAGGGCCAATGCGCGGATGCAGATTGCCGGGGTCCAGGGCTTTGTAGCCTTGCTTCCCCATTTCCTGAGCTTTGGAGGCCCTTCCACGGTTTTGAACGTCGTCCTTCTGCGGCTTATGCGACGCTCTTGTAATTCTACCAAGGAGAAAAATATGCGAAAGAACGGCTCTTCTAGTTCTACCTAGAAGAAAAATATGCGAAAGAACGGCCAAGCCTCCCCTCTGGTATCCTTGAACAGGCTGATCAAGCTAGCCAGGCCGACCGGATGTGAGAAGGGAGGAAAGCTGCTGAGGTGAGGAGCCGATAAGGGCAGATCTTTCGGCTTCTGGCCGTAGTACTTGGGATGAATGCTCCTTACGGTTTAGGGTTTAGGGTCAGGGTTTAGGGTTTAGGGTTTAGGGTTTAGGGTTGCCACAAAAACCCGTTCAAAACAGATCGCTATGCCATCATCAGCTTACTTCCTTCGCCCTCGAATCCTCACAAAGCCTCCGAGAACCATGTAACACCCACAAACCCCTAGACCCTAAACCCTAAAAACCCAAGAACCCAAGCGCCTAACAAAACTTCGAAGGAGTTCCGCCACAGGCTGGTAGACGGGTTTAGGCTTTGGGGTATAGGGTTTAGGGTTCCGGGTTTAGGGCAGAAGGCTTGAGCTTGAGGTGTAGGGTTTAGGATTTAGGGTTAAGGGCCACAACCTAAACAAGGCTCATGCCATAGATGTGGAGGCTGCTGACTTGTTTCTGCACCTCCTCGAAAAGGTGAGTGCTCCAGTTGAACATGTCCGCTTCCTGGGATAAGGGCTTCCCTTAATGTAACGGTCCTATAAGGGCTCCATAACGGGTTTGGGGCACGAGGTTTTATCCATTTCCTTGGCGTCTAGGCCTAGAGTCAAGTTCCTGAGATTACCAGTAGCCAGTTGGTACTGCTTGAGATACGAAGTCTCGGCAGGCCGAAAACTAAACCGGGGAGAAGGGACGTTCTGGAAGACCTATAGTTTCCTGGGCTTCGAGAAAAAACAGGGAGGAAAATGTATAAACGCTCATTTCATAATGCTTCCTTTGAGGAACAGGTCCAGAAAACAGTAATAAAGTACCCTACAGCTAAACCCTAAACCCTAAACCGTTACCCTACACCCTATTCCCTAAACTCTAAACCCTTACCCCTACACCCTAAACCCTAAATAGCGCAGAGTACTCCAGAGCCCAGTTTCTGTTTCCAGGATCCAATCAGTGAACTTCCTCTTTTGGAAGGACATCTCTTCTTCTTGGAGGCTCTTGTTGGCAGGATGAGGAAGGAAGTTGAGCACGACACATAGATGCCTGTTGAGGGTGGGGGTTTAGAGCTTAGGGAGATTATGGGGAGTTCTTGCAAGGGTTGAAGCTTATGATCTTGAAGCTTATGATCAGGGTTACTATTGGGCTTAGCACAGTAGTTGCCTGTATAGCTCCATGCCAAATGTGCGTCTGAGCTCTCGTAGCATCAACTTCCGCTCAGCCGTGCCACGCTGCCAAGCTGCATTGAGCACCCAAACGATCGCATTGATGTTCCGGCTACCGCGGTTCCGGAGTTGGTAGACTGTCTGATTCCACAGCTCCGAGTCCTTGCTGTAACCCCTCGTGTCACCTCTTCCAGGGGTGTCAAGCCATTCAATGTTCGAAAGCAACTTCGGATCGCGGAAAGGCATGCCATCAACAGCGATGACTTCGCTGGTGTGCGACTTCGTGGAACTACTGGGAATGCACAGGTCCTCCTTGCCAGTCATCCAGCGGCACAGTTCGGACTTGCCGGTGCCTGTCATCCCAACAGCAAGGAACGTCACCTTACTCGTTGACCCCAGGTTCCTGTCCACCGAATCCTGCTCGTAGGGTTTAGGGTTTAGGGTTTAGGGTTTAGGGTTTAGGGTTTAGGGTTTAGGGTTTAGGGTTTAGCCTGTCCACCGAATCCTGCTCGTTGTATGCCTTCAGAAGAAGGTCGTCGCGCTGCTGCGTGATCTCCTTCAAGCGCTTCAGGGCCCCTCCTGACTGCGCTGGATCGAACTCCTGCCTGGGTTCTTGTTAAGGGCCATAATAGGGATCTATAGCAAATAATGGGTTTCCTTCTTTTGGTAACTTAAACTAAGTAATACCCTTAACAAGAACCCAGCTGCAGGCTGTCGACTTCCCCATGTAGTTTTGACATCTCCAGGGCGAGCCTTTGTTGCTGTTGGAGGCCCTCTACGAACTCTGATGAAATGTTTCTCTCTCTTCAGAAAATACGAGGCGAAAACCATTTTGAGAACTGCGAGGCTTTATTCTTTTGTCCAAACAGGCTAGACTAGACCACGGAAAAACTCGTTTCAAGCAGGGCGAAGACGCTCCTCCAGCCTGTCCAGAAGAGTGTAAACAGTCAGCGTGATGGTGTAAGTGCTGGAGGAGCTGGAATCTTCTGGATCCGTGGGTAGCCTTGGCCGGTGTTGGTGTTGAGGAACTTCATTTAAGATATCACATACAGAAATATGCACGAGTCCCTGAACCCTAAACCCTAAATTGTTCTACGGGTATACCCTAGACCCTTTATGCCAGCAAATTATGACAACTTGAAGTCTGAAGTCCATTGTTCACTGCACTGCCCCCATCATGGTAACCCCAGACTAAGTACCTTATTTACTACCTAGTCTTGTGCCCTACACATGTCGAGCTTCCTAAACCCTAAACCCTAAACCCTACACCCTAGACCCTAAACCCTAACTGCACCCTGAACTCTGATGCCTAAAACCCTGAAGCCGAAACCTTGGAATTGAAACCCTGAACCAAAAACCCTACACCCCATGACCCTAAACCCTAAATCCTAAACCCCTAAAGCCTCAAATCCCCAAACCCTAAACCCAAACTCCTACACCCTAAACCCTACACCCCTAAATCCTAAACGCCTAAAACAAATCCTAAACGCCTAAACCCTAAGAGCCCCTAAATCCTATGACCCGAAACCCTAAACCCTAAAGCCTTAAATCCCAAAACCCCTAAACCCTAAACCCCGAATCCTAAACCCTAAACCCTAAACCCTAAACCCCGAATCCTAAACCCTAAAGTTTAGGGCCTAAACCCTAAACCCTAAACCCCGAATCCTAAATCCTATGACCCGAACCCTAAACCCTAAACCCTAAACCCTAAACCCCGAATCCTAAGCCCGGGAGCAGCAGCAGCTTCAAGGTCAGATTGCCGGAGATCGTCGAGTTCACGTCCACGCTGAAACCTTGTTTTTTGGGGGGTTTTGGGTTTGGGGTTGGGTTTAGGGTTTAGGGTTTAGGGTTTAGGGTTTAGGGTTTAGGGTTTAGGGTTTAGGGTTTAGGGTTTAAGGGTTTAGGGGTTTTGGGGGTTTCGGGTTTTGGGTTTTGGGGGTTTTGGGGGGTTTGGGTTTAGGGTTTAGGGTTTTGGGCGTTTGGGGGTTTGGGGGTTTTGGGGGTTTTGGGGGTTTTGGGGTTGTAAGCGATGGTAAAGTTTGTTTGTGCGGCTGCGGGTTTAGAACCTTACGGTTTAGGGGTTAGGGCCTAGGGTTGTGGGTTCAGGGTTTTGGGTTGAGCGTTTAGAACTCTTGTTTTGTGCGGTTTCCTCGGGGGATTTGACGAAAGTTAAGGTTTGAGATTTGCGGGAAAGGGGGAGCTTTGGGATGACAGAGTTTAGGGCCTTAGGGGCTGACTACACCAAAAGGTTAACAGCTTGCTTCTTCTCCTACGAAGAAACTGCTGTCCACAGGGACAAGGGCTTCCTCCTGCGTGCATTCACCCAGCTTCGGACGACAGAGAATCTTCGAAGGCAAAATTTTGATGCGAGCGCCATCCAACCCAAATCTCACCTCGCTCAAAGACACAGCTTGCAGTTGATCGCCCACTACACGCGAGTAAAACTTTACCGAAAACTCAAAACCTAAAATCCCGCTACCCTGAATTCGAAAATCCTAAAGCCCTCAACCCTAACGTCCCGACGATTAAGCTACACCAACCGGGGTTACGGGCTCATGGGTTTAAGGTTCAGGTTTCAGGGGCTTCCGTTTTAAGCTTCAGGGTTTTGAGTGCCAGGTTGGGTTTTAGGATCTTTGGATTTCGGGTTTTCTGGCTTTAGGTTTTGGGCTTGTAGGTTTAAGTTCTCGGTGTTTAGGGTATAGTGGGCCTTCAGCGTCTACAGGGTTTCATGGCCATGGGGTTCTGCACCCAGAGAGTCAAGTGTATCCTCCTGAGGGTAAGGAGTGGGAGTGTTACTCAAATTGTTCGGAGGCTTTCTGGGGAGTTGCATACAAATCTACCGTAACTTTCGTGATACGCAATCATCACTACACTCAATCTGCTTGGCAGGCGACGCCTTTTGCACCCGGGAACCGTGAAGTAGACAGCAAGGCGAAACTCCTAAACCCCAAACCCTCAACCCTAAAAACCCTCAACCCTAAACCCTAAGGATCCTAAAGCCTAAACCCTAAGGATCCTAAACCCTGTAACCCTGAAGCTTGAAACCATCAAGCCCTTCTTTGAGGGCCCAGACTGAAGATTTCGGGTTCAGGATTTTTAAAATAGGGTTTAGGGTTTAGGGTTTAGGGTTTAGGATTTAGGGATTAGGGTTTAGGGTTTAGGATTTAGGGTTTAGTCTTTAGGGTTTAGGGTTTAGGATTTAAGGTTTAGGGTTTAGGATTTAAGGTTCAGGATTTAGGGTTTGGTGTTTAGGGTTTAGGGTTGGAACCAGAGATACATTTCTGAAGTATTAAAACCTTACGTAAGCCCTGTCATCGTGCCAGGTCCCCACCTTCAGCGATATGTTCTGCAGATGCTGCGGCGGAAGAACGCTTGCCTTGACTGCATAAAGACTCAGATACTACTTGGAGGTTCATGTGTACATATAAGTCGGGTTATAAGTCTTATAACCCCACTTACAACTACCCATGAACCTCCAAGTGTACGAGAACCTTCCTTCTGATTTCTCATGCCTGACTTTTTGGCCTGCTCCTGTGCTGGCTGGAGGGTTTAGGCTGCTTTAAGATTCCTGCATGGGTTTGGCTTAGGGTTTAGGGTTTAGGGTTTAGGGTTTAGGGTTTAGGGTTTAGGGTTTAGGGTTTGGGGTTTAGGGTTTAGGGTTTGGGGGATGATGTGCACAAGCACAGGCATACTCTTGGCTCTCTCTCTCTCTCTCTCTCTGCGTGTGTCTCATTCACCCGGAGCCATCGCCGAGAAATGCCGGCAGCTGCTGAAGGCAACAAATTAGCAAAACGTATCAAGTGCAAAGTTGCACTATAGAGCCGCCGGCCGATCTCGTAGGCAGGAAATTGTTCCTCGGTACCCGAAACCGCAGACCAAAGCATGATCCTACAAGCAGAACTAGGTTTCTGAGTAGCCTCTTTACATGAGGGTACCCTCTTTCCTAGTATTCGGTTTTAATAGGAAGACCCTCAAATAAAAAGGGCAAAGGGGTACTATTCTAGAACCTAGAGAATACGGTTCTGGACCTGAATCGCTCTAACCCTCGACTCTGAGCACCTAGGCTACATCGCCAAACCCTACATCACCCGAGACCGAAACGCGTTACAAGGCCGGGCAGAGCTTCTTACGTTCGGCATGCTGTGCAGGGTCTGCAGATTGAGGGTGTTCTCAGGTTTAGGGGTGAGGGTTTAGACTGGAGAAAGTAGAGGGCTGCACAAAGGGTTGTATGAGGGTTTTGCGAGGGAGGGGGCGTCGTAAAATGAGGCATACCAACCTGGCTTCTATAATGGATACCCTACTATTGCACTGGTATCCATGTGTACATGAGGGTCAAACTCGCACTTACCTGTCCAGTATCCTAGGGGAACTAAACGTTAACCTTTGGGGTTATGAAGGCGCGATAGGACCCAAAAAAGAATGAAGGTTAGCTCCTCTGCTACTAAGGCGACGGTTTTAGCATAGCTTTACCGTGGTACCCCGAAAGGGTTCACGCTTACCTACTCTACTTGTAGGCACATCTGGTGCCCGCCGTGTATTGAATTTCGGGCTCAGATTTCACCAGTTGTTTACTATAAGGGTCCTCTCAGGCTACCAGGAGGGTACTTGAAAGGCACTGCAGGCCCACCCTTATAAAGGCTACAAAAAGGGTACTCGAAGGATCATCCCTCGACCTTAAACACTGAGTAGCCAGTCCTGGCTGCAATAAGATGTCCTCTTCGGCTTAGGTGGTTCAGGAAACCCTGCTCGTTCAGAAAAGTAGCCTGTAGCGGTAGCAATGGCTCCAAAGCGATACTGAGGGAGCGAAGGGCTAGCACCGTGAAGGAGTAGGTATGCGAGCGCAACCCCAGCAGTGTCAAACGGCACGTCCCGAAAGATTCCAATGGAATCCTGGCAGACAAGCGTACCTGTGGAGTGTGGAGATGGTGAGTGTTACTTTAGAAGCAAGAAACTCTGCGGAAATCGTCAAATATCAGTTTCAACCTCGGATCTGAAGGGTTTAGGATTCAAGCTCATGTTGGGCAAAGATCCATTATTTCAAACAGGAGTTCCTACAAAAGGAGTCCGTAAGGGAATTATACAGGTGCCCCGGCGTTGCCTTGTCAAGGAACGGTCACTGTAAGGGAGAGTGACCAAAGGTTTGCGGGTGCGAACACTCCAACTCTATAATGTAACCGCCTTACAAGACCAACTTTATATAACCTCATACAAGTATCCCTAAACCCTACCCTAAGGCTCATGGGCCCCCGTAGTGAAAGCCCAAACCTTAGCCCCCAAAGCCCAAACCTTCCCCTAGAAAGCCCATAACAGCAATAAGAGCCTTAGGGTAAACCCTAAACCCGAAACCTAAGCTGCAAAGCTGAGACTCCAAGAATTGCGCAGCACTCCCTACGTAAATCCAAGCAGTGTTCTGCCGACCGGGGTTTCCGGACGCGCTTTTGACAACTCTGACAGGCCCTCCACGCATGGGAAGCTTAAGAATTTAAGGAAACCCTGGTGCTAACCATTTAGGGTTTAGGGTTTAGGGTTTAGGGTTTAGGGTTTAAGGTTTAGCGGTTTAGGATTTAGGGTTTAGGATTTAGGGTTTAGGGTTTAGGCCTCAAAATGACAAGATGCCCACGGAAGGAGCCATGCTGAAGTGTAGGGGCCTTAATAATTAGCATAGGGTTTCGGGGTATATTATACTTTAAATATAATAAGGAGCCCCGAAGATAGTATTGGTAATTATCAAGGCCCCTATATTACCACCTTGCCTCATCCGCGTTATTCTTTGGCTCCAAGTCAACGCAGTTGGATTCAGAATCGCAAAAGACATACCGCGATGCTTGGCCTGCACTGTTTCCTATAGCGGCCTGAACACTTAAAATATGGTCGGGTGTGTACTACTTATAGTTAGTTCAAGTATGAGAAAAACTTTGAGGAATAGTACTGGTAATTTATTCAGGCCTCTATACTAGATCTGCACAGGTCTTTGCACGGGAGTTGAAGCCTCTTCTGCTTTTGGTTCCCATACCTGGGCTTTGACAGCCTAAACCAGAAACCCCAATTCGTCCACTGAAATTAGGCAACCTTCCTGAAACTACAATAAAGGTCTTGCATTCGGGTGGGGGACACATGCGACCGAGTGTTTAGGATCTCTGACCCGTGGCTGATTCTCGGTACCACGACTAAGTTACCCTGGCTTGCGTTAATTTCCGAAACCCTAAACCCTAAACCATGAACCACTCAACCTCGAAACCACTAAAACCCTAAACTTTCAGCAGCCTTAAACCGTCAACCTCTAACCCTAAACCACAAAACCCTAGACCCCCAGAATCCGAAAGGCCCATCACCTCAATCTCAGGGTTCAGGGTTTGGGGTTTAGGGGGCCTGGCAACGAAAAAAAGGAAGGGTCAAAGTGCAGGCAAAACACTCCAGTAAAACCCTGTCAGAAGGAAGACAATTGGGCTTAATCAGGCACTCCCAACTTCAAGAACCCACAAAAACCAATTAATCAGCAAGAAAAGACAAAAAGGCCCTGCCTATCTCCAGCTCGAACTTCCTGCATGAGTTGGCTTGGGGTTTAGCGTTTGGAATTTAAGGCTTGGGTCCTGTTGCCAATCGACAACATCCTGCATTGCCTTACTGCGGACCCTCAATGTTGAGCTTATGGTGTATCCTTGTTTTGAAAATGCAGATTTCTGCCCATAAGCAGAAGTAATTCCGGTGTTTTTGATGCGAGGATCACCGGAGTCCGACATGCACCCACTAAAAGCCCTGGCATAACCCTAAGTTCACGTCGAGATTCAGCATGACATCCTCTTTCCAGGTGCGGTGCAGCTGGATGTAGTAGTCGCTCTGGCCCGGTTGAAGGTCCGGCATCGTCCCGCCGACGATCTCCATGTGCTGCAGCTTCGGAACTTGAGACAAGCAGTAGCCTAAGCTTCACAGAGCTTGAGCATGGGTGGAGGCTTTAAGGTTTACCTCAACCCCAACAGAACCTACCTTTTTGAGGACATTGTATATATTTTTGTTTCTACATATATCTTGTATTATGACTATAATTATACTACTTATATTACATGATATTGTATTATAAGTACATTACATTATATTATACTATATATATAGAGAGAGAGAGAGAGTGTGTGTGTGTGTGTGCGTCAGGAACTCATAATATGGAGCCCCAAACAGGGTAGGCTTTATAGGGTTCCCGTAAACCCTAAACCTGAAACATCCCTCCTTGTAGAACCCTTCTAGATCCCTGCCTTATAGAAGGTTTAGGGTTTAGGGTTTAGGGTTTAGGGTTTAGGGTTTAGGGTCTAGGGTTTACCTGCCTTATAGAACCCTTACTTGGAGATTCATGGGTAGTTATAAGTGAGTTATAAATAGGGTAACTATAACTATAATCCACTTATAGCCCTACTTTGTAACTACCCATGAACCTCCAAGTATAGATACCCTAAACCCAAAATTGTTCGGAATAAGGCCTTCAGGCTCTACTGGGTTTTAATCTAGAAGCCAAAAGAACTACCAACATGATTCTTGGGGTTCCTCATTGATGACTACACTATAAAGGAGCCCAAAACCCTACTCTACTGACAAAAGCCCGTACATTACGCAAAATCGCCTCTTCACGGGTCCTCCAACTATGGTGCCAAACCCACAAAATCCTAAACCCTAAAACCCTAAAACCCTAAAAACCCTAAACCCTAAACCCTAAAACCCTAAAACCCAAAACCCTAAAACCCTAAAGCTCTAAACTGCTTGAAATTCAGGCTTTTACACTTGGCCTGACGGGACAAGAAAAGATACTGCGCTAACCAGAAGCCGAAGCAAAAGCATCCAATGGCAATCTCAAACCTTAGTTGGTTTAGGGCTTAGGGTTCAGGGCTTAGTAATTAGGGTTTGGGGTTTAGTGTTTAGGGTTTGAGGTTCAGGGTTTAGGGTTTAGGATTGGGGGTTTAGGGTTTAGGGTTTAGGGTTTGGGGTTCAGGGTTTAGGGTTGAACCCTGGCCCTGGAACCCTAAACTCGAATCCCCATGGATGTTCTCAGAAATCTTGAATCACGGAGCCCTAAAACCCATGAAGCCACACAAAGCCGGCGTTGCAACAAGAGGTTCATGACTTTCTCTAGCGCCAGAGGGTCCATGAACACTACGATTATGGAATCAGGCCCCCAGGACCCTAAACCCTAAACCCTAAACCCTAAACCCTAAACCCTAAACCCTAAACCCTCCTATTATGGTCTTGGGGCCCTAGGACCCTATAAACTGAAGGAATTACTAAGGTATTGTCCTTATTCTGGGTAATGCAGGGCTTATATCATCAACCGTATTTCAACAGTAGAGTTATAATCATTAAAAAACCCCGAAACCCTAGTCTAATGATTAAGGCGCCTAAACCCTAGATCCTTATAGTAGCCCGTATAGAACCCTCTAAGGATCCCAAAAACCCAAACCCTAAACCCTAAACCCCAAAAAGAGGAACCCCCAAAACCGCAAGGGCCAGCAGCAAATGATCGCGGTGGGCACGCAGGCGTTCAACAGACCGAAGCTCACAAGCATGAAGCCTTATCATGTCGGTTCAGGGTTTAGGGTTAGTTTGAATGGAGGGGGCCTTAATAAGTAGAATAGGGTTCCTTTAAAGGGATCTTTTAAAGGGTTCTATAAAGGATCTATGATAGGGTTCTAATGTAGGGGCCTTAAATAATTAGAGTAGGGTCTTGGAGCTCCTTTTTTTGGGGGTTCCTTGAAGGGTTCTAAAGGCTACTATAAGGGTTTAGGATTTAAGGGCCTGAATAATTAGAATAAGGCTTTCGTAGTATATTTTACCATAATTGTACTAAGGAGCCGTAAAGTAGTATAGAACCCTAAACCCTAAACCCTAAACCCTATATTACACCGGTCAAGGGTGCTGAGAACTCTTGGAGCTTGGGTTCAGGCCATGAGCTGTTTGCAAGACCCAAAACCCTAAACCCTAAACCCTAAACCCTGAACCAATGAGCAGCCCTTGAACCCTGTCTTTCCAGGCTAAGCTTCGTGGACTTCATAAGACAGAGTTCTACATTTTGTGGTCTGATCGGGCTTCATCGGCATTGACCGTTTTCTCATGTGAGTTCGCAAGCTACGGTCCACAGTACTGCCTCGACGCGAAGGGTGTCCATCTTTACCGTCTATCGCTCAGCTGTGTGGGACCTAAAACGGGCTCATATCTGGAAGTCTAGGGTTTAGGGGCGTAGGGAAAGGGTTGAGGGGCTTAGGGGTTTTAAGCAGCCATGAGGCCATGGATGCGCCAGAGCCACCAGCGCTCAGGGTATGCATGCTGCATGAGGCCTTGCTGTCCAGCTCATAAGCACGATCTGAACACAAGCTTGCGCCCCCGAAACCCTAAACCACACCTATATCCTGGTTCTAAAGTTACCGCTTCCAAGCAGCACAAAACCTAAAACGCTGAAGTCGCTTGTCAGCAGCACCTTCAGAGAAACCTTCGTCTCAAACTAAAGCCGAAGAGGCGTAATCGATGTTGCAAGAGCAGCTCATCCTCGTTGCTGAGCTTGAAGCGCCACATGTCAGACCAGGATCGCGCCTCGACTCACATGTCAGGGTTTCGAGTTGTGGGATTACTTCTTCGGGTCCTTTCAGGGTTTGGTTTGTTGGCGCATGGTTCGATGCAAGCATGGAGCGCATTCTTTGTATAGAAGTGTTTCAAAGTCTTAAAGACCCTACACCTGAAACCAAAAAACAGTAAGTATTGGAATTAGAACTCAAAGAACGTAATCGCTCTGCCCCTCTCCTGCTGCCCGCTTTGGAGTGACAAGCTCTCTGCAAATTCGACCACCGACTTCTCTTCGGACGATGATTTGATGGGCTTGATCTCCTCCCACACCTGCAACAGCTTTGGACTCCAAAGCCGAGCGTTAGGGTTTAGGGTTTAGGGTTTAGGGTTTAGGGTTTAGGGTTTAGGGTTTAGGGTTTAAAGCAAAGTAGCGGCAGTAGTAGTAGTGGTGGTAGTACCAGTGGCAGTAGCAGTAGCAGTAGCAGTAGCAGCAGATGACCCTAGGCTTCTTTTCTTATAAATCAAGCGAAACTGAAGCACTGAACATCCAAGCTAAACACATGACCCGACATGAACTGCCAACTACGCCATCATCTGCACTGAGCCTCTACACCAACTACTTAAAGGATCATGGGACTTAGCACGTAGGGTTATAATTGAGGTAACTGTACTTATATCTACTTATAACCCCAATTAAGGGACGTATAACCTTACTCGATCCTACAAGAACCCTCGAAACCCAACCCTAACCCGAACCCTAAACCAATTAAACGCCAAGATCCCCGGTCCCCATCCATGGACATGCCTAAGCCCCAAGCCCCGAAATCAAAAAACAACATCAAACACAACTAGCAGCACCGTTTTCGAGCCCGGTAGAAGCCCCTCCTGAAAAAAAAGTGTGTGGAACAATCGTTCCAAATACACCTTCTAAGCCCCATATCAACATCTGTACACGATCATTACCAAAGCCCGACGACCAAAAACGATCAAACCCTATGTACACCCCTGTCACATCCTACACCCTGCACCCTAAGCCCTGCACAAGCCCTAACAGCTATAAAACCTATACCCTCAAAAACCCAATTAGCACCTAAACCTTAACCCCTAAACCCTAAACCCCTAAACCCTAAACCCAATCCCCCTAAACCCTAAACACCTAAACCCTAAACCCTAAATCCCTAGACCCTTTATGCCCTAAACCCTAAACCAAGAGCTCGAGCCTCCAGGGACATGAGCCCAATGCTCTTAAAGCTCGCATTGACCCAGAGGAGCAGTCCGAGGGTGGAGCCCAGCCATGTTGTCAGCTTCCTTTCTACGGCTTTAGGGTTTAGGTTTTAGGGTTTAGGGCTGGTGATGTAAATCCTGCATTTCGCATGATAAGGAATATACCATTATTCCCATAGCTTTGGGTCCTTGAGGTAATGCAGGATTTATATCATCAACATCAAAGGCTTAAGGCTTCCCTAAACCCCAAACCCTAAGTTCAGGTTTCATAAGGGTTCCAGCTTCCTTTCTAAGGGCTTAAGGCTTAGGGTTGAGGTTTCATAAGGGTTCCCAGCTTCCTTTGCTGAGGGTTTCAGGCTTGGGCCCAGGTCTTATAAGGGTTCCATTTGCCTTTCTAATGTAGGAACCTGATCAAGAAACCATGGGCCTTTATTGGGGCTCTTAATATGAACTCGAATATTTTGGGTGTTATAGGCCAGGGTTTCTTAATCCGGTTCCTACATTAATGCTCTTTAAGGCTCCAAGGCCCACGGTTGAGGTTTTAAAAGTTATTACAAAGGTTCCTGGTTTAGGGATTTGAAGGGTTTAGGGTTTAGGGTTTTGAAGGGTAGGAGCTCTGCGTTCATCTTACAGGGGGGTGTAGCATCGTGAGTAGTAGTGATCACTGCTCACTTTGAACGAAGCGACAACAAACAGACAGTTATCGTATTGCACACGTTTAACCACCGATAGGATAGTCGTGACAATAACCTCTTTACGCCTTATGCAGGTCACAAGACGAGCAGCAACTAATGGACCGAAGGTAAATTTTAAAAACACACAAAGCCAATAAACTAAATAGTGACACAACAGCGCTAATCTCTGAACTTAACCCTAAACCCGAAACCCACTTTCAAAAAAGAGCGACGATACGACAAAGCTAAGGGTAGCCATGGGAGAGACTCAAGTTCCCGACAAGTCTCAATGGGTGGTCCGACAGGTGCACGACCAGGACCACAGTGGAGGCGGCGCTCACGATGACGCAAAACTTAGCGGCTGCTGTTCAGGGCTCGTACCCTAAATCCTAAACCCTAAACCCCAAACCCTAAACCCTAAACCGTGGTTGAGGGCTTCGGGTTCAGGGTCGAGGATTTTGGGTCTTTTGCTTTGGGTGCAGGATTTGGGCTTTAAGGTTCAGGTTCAGGGTCTGGGGGTTAAGCTTCCGAACCCAGGGTTCAAGGATTACTTCTACACTTCACTAGGGCGCCGGGGATTTTAGGGTTTAGGGTTTAGGGTTTAGGGTTTAGGGTTTAGGGTTTAGGGTTTGGGGTTTAGGGTTTAGGGTTTAGGGTTTGAGTAGAGGCGGTGTAGGGTACCAAGACGCGAAGAAAATGTACAGCCTCAAAGTGCAGAAGCTCTGGAGCTGCATGACGCTACTTGGGACTTAGTAAGTAAGGTTATAAGTCCCTTAATTGGGGTTATAAGTATAGTTACCCTAATTATAACCCTACTTACGAAGTCCCATGATCCTTTAAGTACCAAGAGGCTTTACCCACCTGCGATCCGAGCAAATGCGAGATGCAGGTGAACTTGATCTTTACCTGCCGCTGGATCGCGAGCTTCACCTGGTCTTGGAGGCGCTCTCAGTAGTTCAGAGCTTTAGGGCCTAGGGCTTATGGGCTTTGGGTTTAGGTTTTAGGGTATGGGGCTTAGGGTTTAGGGCTCTCACGGAAAGTCAAAATGCATAGTAGTCCTCAAACCCGACACCATAACCAAGTTACCAATATGGCACGCAAGTGGGACACCAGCCCTGCAGACACTAGCAGCTCGGTGTTGGCGGCCACCATGCAAAAGCAGGCGAGTAAAGGTAAACCCACCTTGGCGTTGCGAGAAGGACCACGAGTTGCTGTTGATATTACTGTCTTCATGGATACCGTTCATACGATTCTTCTAGCAATGATTACAGATTCACAGCTTCTGATAAGATTCTGGTAAGTGTTGTCCTGTGTTGCGTTCTGGTCCCACTATTGTTCAGACGATGGGTCATGTCTGTTGGTTGCCGGCTCAGGAAAACCGAAAAAGAACAGCGCGACAGATCAAGCTGACCCTGACACCTGGCCGGGGAGAGTTAAATGTCCAGAGAACAAAAATTGAGGCCTAATCCCTAACCCTTAAACCCGAAAACACTAAAACCTCAAACCTCAAGCCTAAACCCGAAAAGACTGAACCCTGAGCCCTAAAACGCTAAACCCGAAGCTTGAAAACACCCCATGAACCCCTAGCATAGAAGCCTTGATGATTAGCAATCATCTCCTTATGATCTCTGGTAGAATCACAGAATTACAAGTCCGAAAACCCTGGCCTAATCATGAAGGCCCTAAGCCCTAAACCCCCAAAAAAACACCTAGAGGAACTGGGCCTAAACCCTAAACCCTAAACCCTAAACCCCTATCTTGCCCGCCCCTTGTTGACCCAGCCACCTGCTCGCCAGCCAACACCCACTTTGCGGCCAGCAGGCCCAGTGAGAAGTTGCTGGCCACCCTTAGGGCTCCTAGTTGGGTTTAGGGTTTAGGGTTTAGGGTTGGGGGTCTCATATCACCTCAGGCCAAGAAGTATGCCCTGAACACTAAACCCTAAACCCTAATTTCTGGAACATGCAACTCCATGAACCGATAGTTTGGGATCAGGCTCCAAAAGTACGGAACTGCCAGAACCTACCGTTTTGGTACTTAAAGGATCATGGGACTTCGTAAGTAAGGTTATAAGTCCAATAATCGGGGTTATAAGTATAGTTACCCTAACTATAAGCCTATTTACTAAGTCCCATGATCCTTTAAGTAGGTTCTTACTATAAGCCCGAAGACCAGAAAAGTAGGTTTTAGTAGATGAAAGTAGGATTTAGGGGTGTGTTGGGGTCCATTGGGCGTGCACCGGGATCTTAGCGAAACATTGTGGTGCGGGTGGGTTAACTATAGGATAAAAAGGTGCATAAGCTGAGCTGGCCGGCTCTACGGAGTTTTGGCCTCTTCGTTGTTCGTTTGCTCTATTGGAGCTGGAACAGGTGCGGTACAATGTAGAGTGGGTGTTCAGAAGGTCCTGCTGGAGCCCTAGAGTACTACATCGGGTGAGGGCATCGCCCTCGAGCAAAGCTGTCAAAACACACGCGTCTTAGATAGTCGCGTGTTTTTTTGCATGTTGGCGCGCCTTGCTTCGACTAGTGTCCTTTCTCCCTCCAGATTGCCGCAGTGCGTTTTTGCAAGCCGGGGAAACGCACCCCGCAATCTTCTCCTTTCAGTCAATGTGAAAACCTCGCACCCTGAGGCGACGCAAATGCACGAGAGATACAGCAGGAGGGGAATTCATGTTTAGGGCCATTGCGCAAACAAGGTTCGTTTTGGGAGGCTTCGAAAACGGACCGTGCGTTTTCGATGGCCCGCCCAGGGTCAAGGGGGGGCGGGCTGGGGGTGGGGCTTCTGGCCCCAAAACAGTACATTTTGGAAGGCTGTCTCGAGAGACCACTAATGGGTTTAGGGTTTACGGGTTTAGGATTTGGGGTTCAGGGGTTTAGGGTTTAGGATTTAGAGTTTAGGGTGCTTGTGAGATTTGCTGTTCCTTTAATTTCAGTAATGGCAGTCAGTGTCATCCTGTGCTCAAGAAGGGCCACGGAGCGATCCGGGAGAAACTCTCACCCTCCAAAGCTCCGGACCGAGCAGTATCTGAAACCAGACACCCAACTTTGACCACACCCAAACGGTCGCCAAAGTTGATCGGAATCCATACTAGGCCCTAAACACTACTTGGAGGATCATGGGACTTAGTAAGTAAGGTAATAAGTCCCTTAATTGGGGTTATAAGTATATTTACCTTAGTTATAAGCCCACTTGCTAAGTCCCATGATCCCTTAAGTAAACGGTAAACCCCCGACCCGCTACCCACAGTTTCTCCGAGGCACTTTATCAGAACGCCTAAAGCCGCGAAGCCAAAGAACCTGGAATCCAGGTGTTGTTGGTACTGCCCCCATAAAGTAACAGTCTATAACAAGGGCACCACTAAAGGCCTTTAGGGCTTAGGGTTATCTATATTATAGACGTTAACCAACGGTGACTGAGTGCGGGCAATATCCAGGCCAGGAGTCTTCCAGGAACAGGGCAGGGAGCATGGTGTTTAGGTGTTCTCAAAGAGCTCAACACTGCATAATGGCATAACACTGCTCAAATACGGAATATTCCTCACCACGTCATGCGAGACACTATAGAATCAACAAGCCCCCAAGCCCCAAAACCCTGAACTCTAAACCTTAAACCCTAAACCCTAATCTCTCAACCCTAAACCCTACCCTAAACCAATGAACCCTAAACCATGGATAGAGGGCTACCGGGCCGAAGGTAGCTAACACCTAACAAGTTGCGAGCCTCAAAAAGACTTGTCTGAGGCTTTAGGGTTTCGGGTTTGGGGTTTAGGGTTTTGGGGTTTGGGCTTGGGGTTCAGGTTTTAGGGTTGGGGTTTAGGGTTTGGGGCTTAGGGTTTGGGGTGTAGGGTTTGGGGTTTAGGGTTTAGGGTTTTCGGGTGCAGGGCCCGGACCTACACTGTAAAGGGGAGATAGAACCCTACGTCCATCTTGTATACTTGGAGGATCATGGAACTTAGTAAGAAAGGTTATAAAACCCTTAATTGGGGTCATAAGCAAATATAAGTACAGTTACCTTATAACCCTACTTACTAAGTCCCATGATCCGTTAAGCAAGGCCCGGTTATCCCTCAGATTATTGGCCGCAGCTCATGCTGGCCCATAGGATCAGGGGACCTGGTGGGAAGTAGAGCTTTTGGTTCTCTGAACCTGCTGTTGGTGGTAACAAAGGGCCAGAAAAGAGTTTTGGGGGGCCATTATACTATGGTCTATAGTTATAATACGGAAGCCTCCATAACAGCCTAAACCCTAAACCCCAGACCCTAAAATAGGTAACTATTAATTAAGGCCCCTATAGTACCCAGAACCTTTTGCCCCAAGCCGAACCAGCTCATCCGGTCCCTCATACCCTGAACCCTATGGTCTGAACCCTAAGCCCCAAAACCCAAAGCCCCGCAACCCTGGGTTTAGGGTTTAGGGTTTAAGATTTTGGGTGTAGGGTTTAAGGCTTAAGGTTTAAGGTTTAGGGTTTAGGGGAAACCTACATCGAGGAACCTGAATCATTAAACCAGGTCTTTGTACATTAATCCTTCGGAGTTGTACGACTCGTCAGCCGTGCCCCAATCACTACTTCAGCCAAGCTGCAGGGGTTCGAAAGGTACCGAAGGTCCTGCAGTGATTGGCGGCTTAACCCGGTCGTTTAAAGCTTCCAAGCAGGGGTTTCCCTAAGGGCTTTGCGTTCAGGGCTTTAGCCTTTGAAGAGGATTTGCCGTTAAGGGGTGAGATTTCAGAAGATCATGAAATAGAGTCTAGGCTATGAGCAGCGCAGGTGGTCCTGATCCCCATAAACCCTAAACCCTAAACCCTAAACCCTAAACCCTAAACCCTAAACCCTAAACCCCCAATCTCCGAGGAGACCCAAACCCTAAATCCCCGCAAACCAAAAGCGCCAGCTGCCCAAAGCTCTCTGAGCAGAAGGAGTGAGGGCGTATAACTGCCACAGACCTAGAAAGCTTAGGGTTCTGATGGTCATGGAAGGTAAGATCTATAAGGTTTAGGGTTCTAGGGGTCATAGAGAGTAAGATCCATAAGGTTTACATAGGGTTCTAAGGGTCATGGGACTTAGAAAGTATGGTTACAAGAACCTTAATTGGGAGGGGTTGATAAGTAATTATAAGTATGGCTACTATTATAAGCATGGATGCTTTACTTATATCTCCGGTAACTTCATGCATTGATCCTTTGAATCTCACCCCCCCCAAAAGCCAAATCCAACACCCTTACATCCTCATGACTGCATTACGGTCTTGTGGTCTGCTGAGGCCCTTCTAAGTAAAGTTTAAAGTCCGTAAATGCTAAACCCTGCGCCTAAACCCCAAGTAAAGTCCTTATAAGAGCCTCAACCCTAAACCCTAAACCGTAAACCCTGAACCCTGAACCCTGAGCCCTAAACCCTATAAACCCTGAACCCTCAACCCTGAAACCTGAACCCTGAGCCCTAAACCCTAAACCCTGAACCCGGAACCATGAACTCTGGACCCCCGAACCCAGACCCTCAACCTTGTGCTGCTGGCTGCAATCCTTCTGAGATAGCAGGCGCAGCTGGCTCAGTGAATCTCACAACATCGACGCCCGCGGAGATCACCCGCAGCAGCAGGATTAGAAAGGACCTTACCCCTAAATCCCTAACCGTGAACCCTTGTACGGGAGCTTCTGTGCGAAATCTGCATGCCTTTGGGACATCATGTGATTCGACGTCAGTGCAGATTTTGGATTTATCATGGTTGAGTCAATGGTTGAGCACTGCTTGTCACAAGTTGTTCCCATGCTGGCCAAGCGACGCTGCCAACAGTGCGTAGATGATCTTATCGCTCGACGACAGCTCTTGCTCCCACGGCAGCGGATGCTCGAAGGGATCGGCACCATTGATCCAAATCTGTGTGCGGACCATGCGTCTCTCTGCTGTTACAATAGGCTTTGCGCTATCGGTTCAAATACGTGTCTGTGTTCGTGTCCCCTGAGCCTCCGTAAGTTCTACCTATTTATCCATCGATCTGTCTATGTCTATCTATTCTATCTATCCATCTACCTCGCCCTCTCTCTGTGTCTGTCGTCTGTCTATCAGAATCTATCCGCCTGCTTGTCAGATAGCAGCAACCTGCATTCGTAGAATAACCCCCAAACCTGAAACCCTAAAACCCCAAACCCTAAACCCTAAACCCCCAAACCTGAAACCCTAAACCCTAAACCCTAAACCCTAAACCCCCAAACCCCTAAACGCCTAAAACCCTAAACCCCCAAACCCCTAAACCCCCAAACCCCAAATCCCCCAAACCCCCAAACCCTAAACCCCTAAACCCCCAAACCCTAAACCTAGGAGGCTGGCGAGAAGAAGCATAGAAAACACCAGGAGTTTTGCAGACCTTTGAGCCCTGGGCCATGGTGCAGAGACGGCTGACTTTAGGGCTTCTTGGGGTTTTTAGGGTTTTTAGGTCGATTAGGTTTTTAGGTTTTTAGGGTTTTGGGGTTTTTAGGGTTTTAGGGATTCTTAAGGTTTTTAGGGTTTTAGGGTTTTGGGGTTTTAGGGTTTTAGGGTTTTTAGGGTTTTGGGGTTTGGGGGGTTTGGGGGTTTTAGGAATTTAGGGTTTTGGGGTTGTAGGGTTTGGGGATATTAAGGTTTCAGGGTTTAGATTTCAGGGTTTTAGGGTCCAGGGTTTGAGGGCTTAGGGCTTAGGGCTGTAAAGGTCTTGGGGTGTAGGTTTAGGATTTATAGGGTTTAGACTTTAGGGTTTCCGACACGCATGCAGGGACTAGTCGAGGATTTCAGATGTTTCGGAATGCTTTGTTTCAGGATCTTTACACTCAGGTGCAGGGGCCTTAACAACAAGAATGCGGTCTCAGAGTATATAGCAGGAAGAACATTGACTATTCCACTTCTGCACCTTAAACCCGAAAACCTAAACATGCGACTCGATATTCGAAGTGGCTCCAAAAGTCTCAGAGACGCTCATGCAGGCAGATATAGGCAGATTTTGGGCGGGGCACTGAAACCTGCTTCTGAACCTTAGAGTTAGGCTTCCAAACCCGCGGCCTCGAGGTATATTGAAGCAGAATTTAGCATAGTGAAATCGGGACTAATTATAAGGAACATTGACACGAATTTTTCGGACCTCTATATCGAAGCCCCAACTCAGAAGCCCTACGTTTTTTTTTCAAATCGCGAGAGAGTTCGTAGAGGCAGATCGCCGCGGCGTGGGCGACGTTTAAGGACTCGCCTTGTGATTGGGGCACCTGAGCGCTGCAGAATGCTAAAGGCTAAAGATTTAGCGGGCTCAAGTTCAAGGCTCAGGGCTTGGACAGTTCATATCACTTTGCCACTATGTTTTGAAACGGACCTTTTCGTATCAAGTTGACTTGTCAAGTCTTTTACGGGGTTCCTTGAGCTCCTCTTTGTGTTCTCACGCCTTGAACCCCCCGAGTGCACCCGAACGACGACTCTGTGCACCCCAGCAGGCTCGGGGTTCACCCCTTCGTTGAGGAATGTCCCTTAACAGTGCGTGAAGGGTTTAGGGTTTGGCTCTCAACAATCTCCGAAAAAACCCGAAACCCTAATCCATAAACCCTAAACCCTAAACCCTAAGCCCGAAACCAACATCTTTTAAGCCTAAACACGAACTTATCAGACCTCGACGTCTCTTTGTGTTGCTGAAGGCTTTTAGGGCAGGGGCTCATACGGCTGATGGACAAAATCCTGCATGACCTTATATACCTAAACTATGGGATCTTATGGTACTATACTTTATTTGGGTCATGCAGGATTTTGTCCATCAACAGTAGTTCAGGGTGTGACAGAGGAGCCTTGACACCAAGACTTGGGTGTTGGGCTACTGTACAGCATCGGTAGCATGAGGAGGACACCTAAGGAATACGTAGCATTACAGGATATTGTAGGTATATGGGATTGTAGGTGGATAATATTCACAATTCTTCAAGCTTCTATAGTTTGGAGGATTTGGGATTGGGTTGTGCATTGGGTGTTCGGCAAAAAAACCTTGTTGAACATGTGTGTGTGTGTGTCCGCGTTATAAAGCTTTAGTAGTGGGTCTGAGGCAATAGGAAGTTGGAAGGAGGGTTTCAGAAAATAAGACAAACCCCTGGGCAAAACACCGCCCATCCACCAACCCGGCCAAAACAAACAAACTTTGCCCTAAACCCTAAAGCCTACACCCTAAACCTTACACCCTAAACCCTAAACCCTGAACCTTACGCCCTCAACCCTACCTGGACCCAAAAAGCATAATTAACTATAGCCGTTTATGGGCCTTGGGCCATTTCACCTACTTTGGAGGGTTTAGGTCAACCCTAAACCGTAGGCCCCCAAACCCTAAACTAAACCTCTAAAACCCCAAACCCCTAAACCCCTAAACCCCTAAACCCTAAACCCTAAACCCTAAACCCTAAACCCAAGCTGGAGATCAAACTGCAGCGGCCAACAACCTCAGCCCCAAAACTGATTGGGACTGGGGTTTAAGCCCAAGGCTCCTGAAGGCGAAAAGCCGGGTTGCGGGGTTTGGGGGTTTGGGGTTTAGGGTTTAGGGTTTAGGGTTTAAGGCCGCTTAGGGCTTCGCGTTTAGGGCTTAGGGCTTAGGGTTTAAGGTTTGGGGCTTAGGGCTTAGGAACTACAGGGTCTGAAGGTTTAGGGGCTTAGGGTTTCCAGGAACCTTAAATCCCAGCTTGAAGCCCTGGGCCCAAATCTTGTCAAGCCTTCCCGAAACCCCAAACCCTAAACCCTAAACCCTAAACCCTAAACCCTAAACCCTAAAATTCGGTGTACTCTACAAGCCCCAAGCCCTGAACCCGAGGTCCCTCAAAGATCCCTTGTCATAGGTGCTTTCTGGAATCCTTAACTTACTTAGTGCCACGATTAAGGTTTAGGGTTTAGGGCCAAATTTTAGGGTTGAGGTGTAGGGTTCAGGGTTTAAGGTTTTTAGGGTTTGGGGTTTAGGGCGTAGGACTTGCATCTCCGTCACGCAGATGCGCGCATCACTTAATTCGACGCATTCCTGGCCGCTTCGACAGACGCACGGCGGGAGAAAGGCTTCGGGTTTTAAAGTTTAGGGTTTAAGGTTT